GATCCGACGCTTCGGAATCAAGCAAGGATGCAGTGCTTTGATGAGCTCGAATTATTACTACGTGCATTTGAAAAACTTACTTTATCGTCCAATTATTATGGCCACAAGACGCGTGGAAAGCTGTTCCAACAGACGACAGCGACGAGTACCGACGAAAGAAGGAAGGCCGAATGGAGGACGCAAGGAATGGATCCGCCAGCATGTTTCAACTGCGGAGGGAAGGGACATTTCAGCAGAAACTGCCCAATGAAGGAACGCGGTTTAAGGTGTTACCGATGCGGAGAGCATGGTCATATTGCGCCGGGATGCCCGAAACGCGAGATTAAAGAAACTGTAAGAAATATTAATGTGGTTGCACGGCCGTTTACACAAGAATCATGTAAAACGGTAAGAGTGAATAATTTCGACATAACAGCCCTTGTCGATACGGGCAGCGATTTAACACTAATGAAGGCCGAATGTTACATAAAAATAGGTGCGCCGCGTTTACAGAATAGCGATATGAAATTTAAAGGTATTGGGTCCGATAGTTTTAAGACACTAGATAGATTTAGTACGAATATTTTTATCAACGGACATTTTCATCAGATTGTGGTATATGTAGTTTCCGATGTACTTCTGAAATATAAGCTGCTTCTTGGTGCCGATTTTCTAAATACAGTCAAGATCACGAGAGTTAACGATGTCGTATCATTTGATAAATTAGAGAAAGAACGCGACGATTATATTCCGGAAATATATCGCATCGAATGCGACCAAGGATGTGACAACGTAGAGCTCAATCATATCGAGGATCCGGTAATTCGACAAGAGGTTCGCGAAATGATAGACGATTATGTTCCTAAAAAGACGCGTGAAGTAGACGTGAAAATGACGATTGCATTGAAAGACGATAAGCCGATTTATCAGAGAGCGCGACGATTAGCTCCAGCCGAGAAGGATGTAGTGAATGAGTGGCTTCGCGATAACATTATACAACCATCGCTTTCCAAATACACGAGTCCTATCGTAATGGTAAAGAAGAAAGACGGCTCCGCGCGACTATGCGTGGATTATAGGAAAATAAACACGGTGATTGTAAAAGACCGATATCCCATGTCGTTGGTGGAAGATCAATTAGACGCGTTACAGGGAGCACGGGAGTATAGCACACTGGACCTAAGGAATGGTTTCTTTCATGTACCGATAAGCAAGTAAAGTCGCAAGTATACGTCGTTTATCGTGCCGGACGGACAATATGAATTTTTACGAGTACCTTTTGGACTGTGTAACTCGCCGGCAGTCTTTGTCAAATTCATTAATGCCGTGTTTAGAGAACTCATTAGTAAGCAAATCGTGCTAGTATACATAGACGATCTAATCATACCATCGTACGACATTAGGACGGGAGTGCAAAATCTCAAGACATTTTTGTCGGTAGCGAAGGATTTCGGTTTAAACATAAATTGGAAAAAATGCGCTTTGTTAAAAACTGAGGTGGAGTTTTTAGGATATATAATTAGGGATGATAGTGTACGACCATCCGAGCGCAAGATAAACGCCGTCGCGAGGTTCCCAGAACCGACTTCGACAAAACAAGTGCAAAGTTTTTAGGTTTGACTGGCTATTTCCAAAAGTTCATAGAGGGATACTCTTTGATCGCGAGACCGTTGAGTGATTTGCTGCGAGCGAATGTTAATTTCGAGTTCGACGATAGGGAAAAAGGAGCGTTCGAAATCTTAAAGAGTAAGCTTTGCGAAAACCCGATATTAAAATTGTCTAAATTGGGTGCGGAGACCGAACTACACACCGACACGTCGATGTTCGGCTTCGGGGCGATTTTATTACAACGCGATGTTAGCAACGGAAAGATGCATCCAGTATATTATGCGAGCGGTAAGACGACACCAGCTGAATCGAGATATAACAGTTATGAGTTGGAAATGCTGGCGATTGTGAAGGCTCTTAGACAGTTTAGAACTTATTTATTGGGACTGCGTTTTACAATCGTGACGAACTGTAAGGCATTTTCTTTGACCATGAATAAGCGCGATCTGTGTGTGCGTGTCACAAGATGAGCCCTACTACTCCAGGAATTTGATTATGTCATTGAGCACCGGCCAGGTAGTAGAATGACTCATGTCGACGCTTTAAGTAAGAATCCTCTGCCGGTGTGTTTACGGGTCACAGAGAGGGGTGATAACATAACGGCGAGAATTCGCAAGGCACAACAGGATGACGAGAAGGTGCGACACATTTAAAAACTTAGCAGAGAAGAAAGCGATCGACGGATATTTAACAAGAAACGGACTTTTATATAAGATTGTTGACGACGATATCCGACTGGTCGTTCCAAAGCCCTTACAATCACAACTGATACGCCGAGTGCACGAGAACGGGCATTTTGTCGTCGGAAAAACTGAGGTGCTTTTGAAAAGAGATTATAGGTTCCAGGGCGTTAGAGATAAAGTGGAGAAGATAATTGGCAATTGTCTAGATTGCATACTAGCCGAAAGAAAAAGGCAGGAAAACAAGAGGGTTTTCTTACCCGATAAGTAAAGGCGAGATGCCCTTGGATACTTACCATATCGACCATCTAGGACCCTTGCCGACAACGAAGAAAAACTATCGCCACGTACTCGTCATTGTTGATGCATTTACAAAATTTGTGTGGCTGTATACCACGAAGACGACGACTATCAACGAAGTGCTAACGCATTTAGATAAAGAGGCGATAACGTTCGGAAATCCAAGACGGATTATTTCAGACCGGGGAACCGCCTTCACGTCCGCGGAATTTCGAGATTATTGTGCGCGTGAAAAAATTGAACATTCGCTTATCGTCACCGGAGTGCCGAGGGGAAACGGCCAAGTCGAGCGGGTAAACCAAACGTTAATCCCGCTTTTGTCAAAGTTATCGGCACCGCAGCCGGGTGATTGGTATCGATACTTGAGAGCAGCGCAGAAGTATTTAAACGCAACGCCTCATCGTGCCATCAATACACCTTTTCAATTATTTTTCGGGACGCGCATGAGATCAAGGGAGGATCCGCAAATTCAAGAATTGCTCGAACAAGAGTGGTCGGCGATGTTCAAAGAAAGAGACGAGGCCCGAACAAAAGCGAAAGAGAGCATCGCTAAGATCCAGCAGGAGAATATAAAGAGTTTTAATAAAAGAAAGTAAAAGCCTAGGCAGTACCGTGAAGATGACTTGGTGGCTATTAAACGAACGCAATCAGGACCAGGTCTGAAATTGGCGGCGAGGTATTTGGGACCGTATCGCGTTACTAGAACGTTGCGTCATAACCGATACGTGGTGGAAAGAGTGGGGAGTCATGAAGGCTCTCAGCAAACGACCACGGTGGTCGATTTCATGAAACCATTGATAGAAGCAGATTCCGACGGGAGCGACGAAGAAAGTAATAGTGATAAAGACACATCGAGAAAAGCATCTAAGGACAGATGCTAGTGCAGAATGGCCCAGTGTGAGGACGAAACATGATACTCTTTTGTCAGGCCTCAGCCGATGGGCAATGGCACGTGCAGTGCGGGTGATTCGTTTGTTTGGTCGAATGTAAATGTGCGTGTGTGTGTAATTGGTGCGTGACCACGCAGAAAAGCCGTTGCCAAAGGAGGAAAAAACAAAACACAGTCGTAGGTCGATCGTCGAGTCGTAAAGTCGTTTAAGTCGTAATTTTGTTAAGTCGTTTAAGTCGTAATTTTGTTAAGTCGTTTAAGTCGTTATTTTTCTAAGCCGTATAAGTCGTATATCTTTAGCCTTTAAGACGTTCCGTTTGATTTTATAATTCCTTTTATTTTTAAGAAGTGTTTATCCGTTTTTGTCATACTGATATTTTCCCAATATACTCACCAACAAAATCTACCATNTGATTTTATAATTCCTTTTATTTTTAAGAAGTGTTTATCCGTTTTTGTCATACTGATATTTTCCCAATATACTCACCAACAAAATCTACCATCAACCTTTTGTTTCGCTACCCCACACCTGATCCTATACTGTAAACTAAGTCGGTTACCGGGTGATTTGGTAATAGCATACCATAATAATTAGGTGGTAAATTTGAAATTAAAATACATAAATCCTCGATCAAAACACTAATGCTTCATTATACATCTTCCGCGTGTAATCTATGTTTGGGCATTGGTCTATTTGTCTATATCGGTGCAATATGTCTTCTGTCATACAATTTTTGTATTTTTCCCACAAAGTGGATACTTACGATAGATAACATGTCGTCAAAATAATTGCAAACAGTTGACGAATGTTATTCGGCGTTGATGTTAGCGCAGCATCGGCAAGTTTTAGGTCCCAATGGGTATCGTCTTCTGTCAATTGCAGTTCGCGACATGCATCTTGGTATGTATTAAATACTCGGCCATTAACTGTTCGCAAATATTGAAAAGTCGTTGGTCCGGGAATGTCCACCAATAACAAACGTAAATAAAACCATTCACGTTGTTTTGGATGTACCGTGTATAGTCATCCTAATTTCTTAGCTGTGTATATGCCTGTAATGAAAGGATGTGGTGTTCCTTGTTTCCGTAGCTACCATTTTTACCTGATTTGTTCCATGTAAAATAGTGTGGAACATCTGTGTACAGTAATGTCTTTGCGAATTAGCCGTAAATATCAGGTTTTTGACACAATGTAAAAAAATGTCGTTATTGGAGCCTCAAGCGCTCTTTGGAGAACATTTTCTTCTGTAAAGTAAACACGTTTTCCACATTGCTACATGCTGGACAGAAGGGTCTCTTTCGTGTATAAAAAAGCTAAGAATATGCCAAATAGCTTCGTTGCTGCTTATATATCTACCCATTTGGTATCGTGTATTTTCGTCATTTTTATTTATATTTTGTACTTCAAATACGGCCAAGTAACTGCCTGTATTTACATTTGTACTTAATGGATTTCACGGAACTGCAAAGCTCGATATTGATATGAGTCTTATACGTTTTTGAAAATAATGGTGAGTATGTTACCACCCACGTATTGTCAATTTCTACTTGATTTGTGACATTCGACAGTCGCATTGTGTATGTGTGGCCACCATTCTCAGTATTTCTGCGGCGATACATTGGGTAACCGTCAATATCCGTGATGGTATCATTCGTATACTGCTTTGGAAAACGCTTCTTACATTTTCATTTTCTATGCATGGTGATGTCATGTTAAATGCACCGCAGGATCCGTGGATCATGTGATTAGTATCAATATTAAACAATTCTTGATCAATTGACGGATCCGAAATTTCGGCTGAAAAATTATTTGATCAATTTCTACTTGAGGGATTGTGTCTTCGATCCAAATTATAATGTAAGCATGACACAAACCTCGCTTTTGCAACTCAATCGAATACAGCCAACAACGTGTGTTACCGAAAACTGAATATTTAACAATGAAATCAATCAAGGATTTCAATTTTTGTTTGAACACACGTGCAGTTATATCATGACGATGTATTGATTGTTGTCCTGGTAATAGTAAAGCTTGTATTTCCTCTCAATTCGGATTACATGTAAAAGTAATAAACAAATCTGGACGACCGTAATAACGTACGTAAGTCATTGCATCTTGTATGTTTGAAGGTAAAATGAAAGCACTACCGATGACATTGAAGATTACGTTCCCATCGACGTTTTCGAAAATAGCATCTCGTAAGTGAATGTATTCATCCGATTGTAATTTTGCCTGGTTGTATCGAATGAATTGCAAGCGTTCGCTTTCAATCTTAGCATACATATCTACAATGTATTGATGGAATAGCTGACGATACCGAAGGATATAGTTGTCTTGATTATGTCTAATAATCAATCGGTGTGCCTAGTAGTTCATTGAACTAACTTTTTATTCTATTTTATTTCCTTAAAAGAATAATAAAGAAAATGAACAAAGAAATTAAAATTAATACATATCGTAATAAATTAAATAGTTAATTGTAAAATTCACCAGTATTTGGATCACACTATTTGATGTTAAGGTTATATTCATCCTGTACTTGCCAAAATATTAATGGATATTGGAGTGCGTTATATGAATGGTGTAGATCCGAAATCATACTGACAGTGTTGTCCCGCCGTGTTATTTTTATAGCTCTATTATTGTCAACTGGATCAACAACCATAATAACATCTACCTCATCAACAGTTGGCGCGTTGAATCTGCCAGCATGTCCTCCTAATGGTACTTTGTCGGCTTTAATGACGATTTGATAGTTGTCATTTTGCAATTGTGGTGAGACTCTTATAATGAATTGAAGGAGTTGGTTCTTATTTTCTAAAAAATTTTCCAACAATATCACAATATTTCTTTCCTCTGCTTGTTCAATGAAACTATACTCGCACCAAGTTGTCACGCGTTCTTCACAACTGCCCATAAAATAAATTTGAAGAAACTTCGTATTTTCATTAGGCATTGGCATCAATGACCCAATTTTATGGTACACCTGTCCTTGTATTTTAAATGTAGTTTCAAAATTACGTCCATCAGATGTGAGATTGCAAATTTTAGTTGCCCCAAAAGACGTCATTTGGAAGCAAGAATTAATTTTGCGTATTTTGCGCAAAAATAATTTCAAATCATCAGAATTGCCAGCAAGAAGCGATAGTAAAGGTTCCGGTGGAGTGGGTAGAGATGACAGCACAACTTTTTCTGATGCGCAGCACATGCCTCGTGCTTCATTGTGAAATTGTAATGCGTGACAATATTAACATACTTTATCTATTGCGCCGATAGTAATTTTTGAATCCGCAGAGTAATTAATATCTGGTGCATACCTGACAATATTGACATACTTTTTCCATTGCGCCGATGGCAATTTTTGGATGCACAGAGTAATTAATATCTGGTGCATATTCGAACGCAAAATGAACAAATGATGCCCGTGTTAATGAGCGACTGGTCCACTGTCTCTGTCATTCTTGTACTCGTGCTGTAGCTATGTGTTGTTCACGCGCCGCTCTTATTCTCCGAAGATTCTTTCACCGACGTTCGTCCCGCTGTTCTTGAGATTCTTGTGTCAGTCTCTCTGCTGTCCTGATTCTTTGAGTTCCTCCTCTTGCTGTGATTTCTTCTTGCGACAGATTTGCTCTTTCAATACGTTTGCGTCGTGCATTTCGGCTGCGTACATTGGTGAGGTTGGTTTTTTTTGGTGGCATTTTAATTAAATAATTATTTTATTGTTTTCAAGTAAAATTGAATTATTAAAATGAGAAACGATAAATTAACTTACACCACAAAAACTCACACGTGTGCTAATTTATATTCTCCTTGTTCTTGTCTTTTTTTTGTTTGTATCTATGTCTTGTTACCCCCTGTTGCCAAGAGTAACATTCAACTGCACTACCACGGCCACTTCAATCACAAAGAAAATTTAAAGCGATAAATGTAGCGGCAAGAATCAGGAACTAGAATACTATTGGTTTGAACTCTGATCACCACTACTATTTTTATGTAACATTTATTTATTTATAAACTATTACAGACAAAACGAAAACAAGAACAAAAACGGATAACAAAAATGCGTTGAGGATTAATACGTTGTGGAGCGAGTAAGTGCAACTTCTTGACTAATTTATTTTCTAACAACGGAAGAAGAAAGTCTTTGTAACTATGGAATCATTAACATTCCCATAGAAACGCTGTTAGCTGTGATAGAGTGCTAGCGCTCAAGTAGTTTGCCAAAGAACGAGCAGTGAGGATGGCGGCGCCAGTCGTTGCATAGGATAAAGTAGAAATCTGCTTATCGACAGCAGGTCGCTACATAAATTTCCTTACACCGCCATCTGTTAAAATCTTATGAAACTAACATGTCTAAAAGTAAATAATTTGCAATAAAATAATATTGCGATTATAAATTGAGATAAAAACTATCCTATTTCTTAACATTGATCAAACTGCACACTGTGTTCAAATTTGATTAAAATCGGTTCAGTAGTTTATAGTCCACTCAAATAAAGGTAAACTGGGAAAATTTGTTAAATTTGGTAAAACTTGATATAATGGTAATTCGACGACGCTGAATCGAATGATGCATATCTTTTTGCAATTGGATAGCGCATTTATGAGAAAAAGGGTAAAAAATGGTAAAAAAGCTATATCTTAGAATCTAGGCGTTTAATCGAAAAAAGTTTCAAACAAAAGTTGTGCAAAATTGAAAAATACATAAAAAATGTTCTAAAGTTTATCTTCGTATTTGCAAAAATAAGCGAGAAATATTGGTAAAATTGATTTTAAGAGTGGGAGACAAGCCCYGCCTCTTCKTYGGTCTTTACACRCRAGCGAGCTATTGTGCGTTATCTTGGGGTCTCTCGGTCGTGAATTCGACTGCGAGTGAGAAAAGAAATGGATATTTTTCCCTTTCTATTTGTTTAAGTGATAGCGAGTATTTTTGTTTGGGCCATCGATTTTGTTGAGTGTTCTGTGTTATATATTTCTGATATTTTTTCATGCTGTAGCGAGAATTTTTCGTTTTGGCCATCGAGTGTCGAGCGTTCTGTATACGAGTGCAAATGAGACAAGAAACCGATATTTCTCTCTTTCTAATTTTTTCTTCGGAAGCGAGAATTTTTCGTTTTGATGATCGAGTGTCGAGCGTTCTGTATATCTATATAAATATCGGCGTATAAGCGCGGCATTTTTAAATCGAATCTTGATGCTTATGGCACGCCGTTTTTTTATTTATTGTCAAAAATAATGAACCTTGATTAAAAGAAAAACAATAACTCATTTTAACAGAAACTATTATTATTTAGTCAACAAATTATGTATTTTAGGAAATTTTAAATTCCTAAAATACATAATTCCTAATTCCATGCTTCTCACGCGTGTAGTTACCGTTCGATTCTTCGTGAGGGAATTATTTTTCTTTTCTTTTCCGATACTACTTATGCTAGCGTGCCACTTGATAAAATTTAAATTTTTTTCGTATAATTTTTATTACATTGAAGATGAATAAAAATGCATTTCTGTTTTCTTATAACATAATAAAAAATGAATTAAAATAATGTCTAGACAAAAAATAAATTTCACGTTTTTAGAACATCTTTTCCTGTATATCTTGGATTAATTTTATGTGTAGATATAAAATGCTTCTTTTTCAAATATGTATTCAATTTGATACACAAATGAATATTTAAGAGACAACAAATCTTTAACTTAAAATTTCCTAAAATACATAATTTGTTGACTAAATAATAATAGTTTCTATAAAAATGAATTATTGTTTTTCTTTTAATCAAGGTTCACTATTTTTGACAATAAATAAAAAAACGGCGTGCCATAAGCATCAAGATTCGATATAAAAATGCCGCGCTTATACACCGATATATATATAGATATACATAACGCTCGACACTCGATCGTCAAAACGAAAAATTCTCGCTGCGGAAGGAAAAAATTAGGAAGAGAGAAATATCGGTTTCTTGTCTCACTCGCACTCGTATACAAAACGCTCGACACTCGATGGCCAAGACGAAAAATTCTCGCTACAGCTTGAAAAAATATCATAGGTATATAATATAGAACGCTCAATAATCCAGGGCCTAAAGAAAAATACTCGCTATCGCTTAAACAAATAGATAGGGAGAAATATCCATTTCTTTTCTCACTCGCAGTCGAATTCACGACCGAGAGACCCTAAGATAATGCACACTAGCTCGCTCGCGTGTAAAGACCGACGAAGAGGCGAGGCTTATCCCCTCTCTTACAATTACCTTTCACTTTCATTTTCTCGCTTATTTTTGCATATACGAAGATACATCTTAGAACATTTTTTATGTATTTTTGAATTCCGCACAACTTTTGTTTGAAACTTTTTTCGATTAAATGCCTAGATTCTAAGATACGGCCGTTTTTTACCCTTTTTTTGGAGTTGCGCTATCCAATTGCAAAAAAATTTGCACCACTCGATTCAGCGTCGTCGAATTACCATAAATATCAACTTTGCACCTTGGCAGCTTTCCGGAACTCATTTGCCCCTTATTGACTGGGCTAATATATATCCTACATCTATTCAAAGCTAATACTGTATCTAAAAATATTCCTTAAATAATGGAGAGCGACAAAAAGCAATGAATGATTTATATAAAAGCTCGATTCAAAAAATTAAGACATCCAAGCTCACAAAAACTAAGACTTTCAAGAACAATGATTCGAATTAAAACCAGACTCAAAAATTAACTAAGACTAAGACTCACAAAAACTTAAGACTCACACTAATGTTCAGACAAACTTAAAAATTAAGACTAAGACTAAGACTAACGTGCAAGAAATAGAGAGGAGGTTTTCCGGTATATCGCGTAATGGAAAAATACTAAGAAAGATTGAGCATCGTTAAGGAAAAAATAATGTTCTAAAAATTATAAGGGTGGCGGGACGTCAAAATTTGTTTTTAGTGCGATTGATGGATGAGGACGTACTGGGTCGTAGAGCATAGTGTGATGCTTCGCTCCAGCCTGTTAATAACGCAGACTTGTTCGATCTAAATACGCGTTGTAACGTCGTACACAATTGTAGCAAGGCCTGTCGTCAGCAACTGTGCCGCGATGTCAAGCAATGTTTAGTAAGCGAAACTTTGGAACAGAAACAATAAAGTGCCTGCCCACACAACAATCACAATAAAACAGTTATGATTCCGAATGAGTACTGTGTTGATGGGTGTCGGTGTAATGAGCTGGTGCTGATTGTCTAGCTTTTTGAGATCGGGAAATAGTTTCTGATAGTTCCCCACGGATTGCTGGACAGGTGTAGCCTAGATGCGGTTCAACGCACGAGCCATTAAGTTCACAAATTTTTCCTTGTGCTTAAAGGTGGTGTTTAGCCGGGACAAGCCCTTCAAGGTCTCGCAATCTTCTCGCGATGATTGATCAAACTGACTGGTTGTAAAGGAAATTTCTGTTCAGAAACACGACTTACAAGGAGACCTTACGGTTGTGCCCTCACGGATTTTAAGGAGCTTTGGTATATTAGTAGTATACTAATAGGGTGTTATTGTGGTAAAGTATTTTATTAAAATGCGAAGCTAATTTTGAGAAAAAAGCTGTAAAAGTTTTGATTTTTTTGTATACATGTTTATATTATCTTAAATGCGACTTTTTATCAAGTGGCACGCTAGCATAAATAGTAGCGTGTTCGTTTTTCGTGCTGCTAGTTAGTGGTTCTATCTATCCTCTATCGGGGAAGTTTTTTTTAATAATTTTTTTCTATTTGTTTTTAAATTGTTTTTTCATAATTCCTAATTTTTAAATATATA